AAGGTTTTTAAAAATCTAGACAATGAAGAGAAAATTATAATTTAGCAACAAATAGTGTAAGAAACCTAGTGGATGACAGAATCCAGATTACAAATAAAGGCCAAGGCAATGATGGCTGACCAGAACTGTAAGATGGTTGTTAACAATATTACATTAGCCTTAGTTGGCCTGAGGTAGAGACTAAAATCAACTCACATCTTATCTTGATTAGGAAAAAATTAAGCTTCTTCAGTCTAATTCCAGAAAACTATTCTGGAATAGTATTCTTTCAACTAAATTCTTTACTAAAATTTAAAAAAAATAGGAGGGGAGCGGACACCTAGCTCATTAAGTTGGAAGAGCAAGCAACTCTTGATCTTGGGGTCATGAGTTCAAGCCCCATGTTGGGTATAGAGAGTACTTGAAAAAATAAGTAAATAACAATAATAATTTTAAAAATTAATGCTTTACTAAATCATAAATATACTACTTTGTGGTATTTTCTTTTTCAAATGTATAGTTTATGAAGAGTTTGGAGTTAGAAATAAACACAGCTTAATGTAAACACAACTCTTGATGTCTTGGGTTATCAGAAAGATACAACTTAGAGTGCAGGGCGCCTGGATGGCTCAGTCGGTTGAGCATCTGACTCTTCGTTTCAGCTCAGGTCATGATCTCATGGTTCATGTGCTCGAACCCCAAGTTGGGCTCTGTGCTGACACCAAGGAGTCTGATTGGAATTCTCTTCTCTCTCCCTCTGTCTATCCCTCCATCACTTGTGTCCATGTGCTCGCTCTTTCTCTCTCCCTTCTCAAAATAAATAAATAAACGTTAAAAAAATGAAAGCTCAGTTTAAATGAGTCTGATCCTTTCCCAAATCTCTGTCAGAATTAGTCTTGTCTTCTATTTTTGTACAACCTAACTATTTGACAGTTAATTATGTGCCTAGAGGTCTGCCTGCCCCAACTAGAAGCTGAGATCATTAGGAAGAAATACTTCCTATTCATATTTATATCCTTGTGGAAAATCCTTATTTCTTATTAATAATAGTATCAGTACTAATAACAAGGAGAAAAACAAAAGCCAGGCATAATCATAAATGAATTACTTCATTTAATCCCCAGGATAGCCCTAAAGCCATTTTACAGAAAAGGAAACTGAGGCTCAGAGAGAATAAATAACTTGCTCAAGGTGCTTGTACTTACCACATGTAGTAAAAAGCAGAACAAGCCTTTAAACCCAGTGTCTTGGCCTCCAAGACATATATTCTTAACCACTTTGTTTAAAACTTAGTAGAATGATTAATATTATTATTATTACCACAATGGACTGAATGTTAGTGTCCCCCCAAAATGCACATGTTGAAATCCTAATCCCCAAGCTGATGGTATTAGGAGGTGGGACTTTTGGGAGGTGATTAGGTCATGAGGGTGAAGCCCTCATGAAGGGGATTAGTGCCGTCATAAAGGGCACCCCAGAGATCTTTCTCACTCTCATTCTACCATGTGAGGATACAAGTTAGCAGTCTGCATCCCTCACCAGAACGTGACCACCCAGATCCCGCCTCCAGAACTGAGAAATACCTTTCTATTGTTTACAAGCCACCAAGTCCATGGCACTTTGTTACACCAGCCCAAACTGACTGAAATAATTATCTTTTTCTAAAAGTTAGGATTATACTTTACAAAGGACTTTCAAATTATAGAAGCCAAAAACTTCTATTTTTGGGGAAGGCAAAAAACAAGCTTTGTCTCCATGTTAAAAAGCTCCTATACATAAACTGTGAGTTTTTATCTGTCCTTCAATCGCTAATTCGTTCATACTCTAGATTGCTGGAGGACATTTTCCTCTCACTACTCTCCTCTGACTTCACTGAGACAGTCAAGCGGATCAAGAAGATCAAGCACATTAGGGCAATATCTCCCCCATTCCTCCTCCCCACCTTGGCACCTACCCTGTGCCTAATTAAGGCCCTCTCCTGTGTCCTGAGAAACAGAGGTGGGAGCCCCTTGGATCTTAAGGGATTTAGTATTGATTTATTCATTCAAATATTTACTAAGAGCACTTTTAAGTGTCAGGCACCAGGACCTGCCCTCTGAGTTTACAGGACAGTAAGGAAGTCAGACAAAGAGGCATCCTCAATCTTTGCTATTCCTTCCGTTCATTGTAATTGGTAATATGAGATTAGTAACAACAATAAGAAATGCATAGCTTGTAGGTTTGGACATACAAATAAGCAAAAAGGTAAAACTGTTAAAATCATTCATAATTCTATCAGAAATGACTGTTGTAGGAGATTGGCTGTATGTTCCCTTCCATTTTTTAAACAGGCTCAAGTTTACCTGAAATTTTTAAAAGACCATCAGCTGATGGGGCACCTGGGTGGCTCACCTGATTAAGCATCTGACTCTTGGTTTCAGCTCAGGTCATAATCTCACAGTTCTATGACTTTAAGCCCCACATCAGGCTCTGCACTGATCCTGTGGAACCCACTTGTGACTCCCTCTCCCTCTCTCTCTCTCTCTCTCTGTCTCTCTCTGCTCCTTCCCTGCTCACTCTCTCTCTCTCCCAAAATAAATCATAAACTTTAAAAAAATTTAAAGACCTTCAGCTGATACTTAAAAAAATATTTCCCAACACTGTAATGAGAGACATCCTTCCTCAAGACATAGAAAGGGTTCAAGGAGAAAATTAATTCCTAAAAAGAAAAAGCTAGGGGTGCCTGGGTGGCTCAATTAGTTGAGCGTCCAACTTTGCATCAGGTCATGATTTCATAGTTCATGGGTTTGAGCCACACGTCAGACTCTGTGCTGACAGCTCAAAGCCTGGAGCCTGTGTTGAGTTTTGTGTCTCCCTCTCTCTCTGCCCCTCCCCACTCATTCTCTCTCTCTCAAAATAAGTTAACCCCAAAAAATATTTTTTAAAAAGCGATTTTATTCTTAGTTAGATGGGGGGGGGGGATCTCTACAAAAACAAAATAAAAACTAACATCTCTTTTATTCCATACAACATCATAGTCACAGTCTAAAGACAATTAAAAAACAGTAGTAATCCAACTCAACAGTGGCAGCTGCCTAGCCAAGTGCCATTAGCCCAAGTCTCACAAGAGTTATACCTGAAGGGAAGATAGGGGGGATTTGAGCCAGATAGCAGTGCTCTGTAGGCTTCTTCTGGTGTCTTCTTTAAGTAGATTACCTAAGACAGAAATAGCAACATTTAGAACACCATCAAAGAATGATACGAAACTAATTTAACTACTCACCAAATTTGCATTTCCCCTTTTCCACTCTGACAAACTGTCAGTCATGGTGACAATTAATGCTGACCTTTAAAAGATAGCAACTGAGCTGCCAAAATTTCTTTTCCAGCTTGAAGCTGAGCTGCAGCCTTTGGCTGAGGAATGGATAGAGCTTAGAGACAGACGGCAGATCCATAAAGAGGCCATCCAGGGCTGTTTACAAGGCGCATTGAACAGGCACAATGGCAGTGCTTTCCCTTTGGGGAGCAGAACAATTCTACTTCCATTATTGGACTGTGCACTGTCAGCACAATAAAATAAAATCACAACGAAGCGGGTGAAAATGAATGCAGGTAACAGCATTAGAAAACACACTGGCTGGACTGTTGATATCCAAGATACTTAAATCCCTCTGGTCCAGCATGATAAACTCATCTTAAAGAAACAAAAATGAGCTCTTAAAACCAGTAAACAACTTAATCAACATATTGACTATATGATATGTGGCAGGCACTGTATCAGGTACTTCTGTTCTTGTAATAGAATTTACATTCTAATGAGACAAAGACAGTAATTAACAAAAATAAATAGCATCTGAGTTAAGTGCTCAAAAGGAAATAAACAAGGTTCTGGAAAGAGAATAGAAAGGGGCTGCTTGAGAGGGGTGCCCAGGAGACATATAGGGTAAGATATGCAGGGGGAAACCCAGGGGAGAGCAGGGGAAAGGAAGAACAGCTTGCCAGGCGGTAGGAATCACAAGGGCCACCATCCTTGCAAGGGAAAGAGTGTGGTGGGTTGGACAAGGGAGCAGCAGCGTGGCTAGAACATGGGAAGGAGAAGCAACTAGTGGCCAAATAGTGAAGAGCAATACAAACCATTGGCAGACTTTGATTTTATTCTAAGTATAATGTAATATTCTAACTTGGGGCTGAGGGCATCAGTGCTTTTCCTCTATAGTTGGAATCAAATTTTATTCCTAAAAATCCTCTCCACCTAGAATTAATGGCATTATTTGAACACCCTGTACATTTCAACAAGAGGGGCAGAGTCTCAGTTCCTAACAAGTAGGACTTTCCTCTTTACTTGAAAATTTTCTTTGAGTTTTGAGCTACCCCATTAGCAATATATTATGTGTATTTACTTATTAATAATTTCAGGACTAGAAAATACCTCAATTCTGTCTTCTCTAAAGAAAGGAAACTGGGGTGCCTGGACGGTTCAGTCAGTTGAGTATCCAACTCTTGATTTCAGCTCAGATCATGATCTCAGCATCATGGGATCGAGCCCCGCATCAGACTCCACACTGAGCATGGAGCCTGCTTAAGATTCTCTCTTTCTCTCCCTCTGCCCCTCTTCCCCACTCTCACTCTCTCTCTCAAAGTAAAAAATAAAAAATAAACAGAAAACCAAAATAAAAACATAAAAGATACTTCTAGCTTTAAAAAGAAAGCTCCATATTCATTTGGCAAGTAAACCTGGAGGTCTGATAAGGCACAAACCACCAAAGCAAATTGAACATGAAACAAAAAACAGCACAGAAAATGAAACCACTGTAAAAGAACGATCTAGATGTGAGTCACTGATTCTACAAATGGAGAATCAGAACTCTAGCTGCAGCTCAAATCATAAAAATCCATTTAAACCAAACATAGCTTTAAAGACCAATATTAAAACAGGATTTTGCTGTGCCCTAATGGGCAGGTTATACCCTATAAATAGAGTTGGTTATAATGCACTGATTTCTCAAGCCTGAAGATGCAGCAGTATCGCAAAGTTGACTACTGCTGCTAAAAGGGAAAGCTGCGGTAAAAGGCTTCTGTGTTTGGATTACATAATTAAAGCTTATACAACAACCTTTGAAAAGCAAAAATACATTTCCCTCCTCAGGAGCAATTACATTAATTTCCTTTCATTTTGAGGCACCCATTCTGCAGGAGAGAGGTGACAGCCCACATGAAATACTTCTTTAGACTGGATACCCCACAGGGTACTCATCTTACCTGCATGACTTAGCACACATGACCCATGTTCTCACACTGTAAGATGAGAGTCTGTTTTTATTTTTATCCCAGTGCTCAATTATTAATAAGTGCAAAGTGAAACCCAGCAGAGGCCATCTAAATTCCAGGAAGATTCCAGGGGCAGGTAAATTCAGTGACCTTTTACAACCTGAGAGTAGGTGAAATGTAATAAATGAGTGCATTACTGAATGCATGCAGGCTAGGGTCATTAAAATAACAAATTCTATTAAAAAAAAAAACAAACATGTCATGGATTCTTATGCCAGATCTTCTTAGATATGTCTCCTATTAAAAGAGAAAGAGAGGGGCGCCTGGGTGGCGCAGTCGGTTAAGCATCCGACTTCAGCTCAGGTCACGATCTCGCAGTCCGTGAGTTCGAGCCCCGCGTCAGGCTCTGGGCTGATGGCTCAGAGCCTGGAGCCTGTTTCTGATTCTGTGTCTCCCTCTCTCTCTGCCCCTCCCCCGTTCATGCTCTGTCTCTCTCTGTCTCAAATATAAATAAACGTTAAAAAAAATTTAAAAAAAAAAAAAAAGAGAAAGAGAGACAGACTAGGCCTGATTAAAGCTCAGAAGAAAAGCAACATTTACTAAGCCTTGCTGCTGAGAAATCTGAAGCACAGGAAGGTAAGGACCTTTCCGAACTCACGCTGCTGTTCTGTGATGGAGTTAGAATTCAAACACAGATCTGACTCCAAAGCCCAAAGTACTTCCATTTGCCACATATGCTTGAAAATATAAACACAGGCCACAGCAGCACAAATTGGGAAAAAAGATTCCTACTCTTCCAAATTCTTAAATGCCATTCCACTTGACTTCTTAAAACTAGGTGACTTCAAACTAATAGTAGTCGTGTCTGAGAAACAGGGTTGGGAGAGCACTGGAGCGAGAAAGGAAAAGAGTACTTTCTACTTTACTGCATGTTTTACATTTATAGTTTCCACGTGTTTTACATTTTGTACTGACATAGATTAATTTGTTTTTCAAATGTAGAATAAATCAGTGAAACAGTAAATGTCTACTCTTTCTAAAAATAAAATATATATTTAATATTCAAAAGTTGGGTGCCAGATATTCTAATTTTTCTAAAAATATTTTCTGAATAAAATTAATTTCAAAGCATCTTCTAAATATTTTTATTTTCCTTTTCTACTTCCCAGGGAAAAAAATAATATGCTGTCTATTCTCTTCACTAGATATTAGCATATATAAACCCAAACTGAAAGGACCTTCCCAAACTTTTGAGTGATAAAACTTAACAAAAGCCCTCTGCATGGTGTTTGGTGTACCATTTACCAATTACTAATTGACCCGTGGAGCACATGCATTACTTTTATCAAAGGACACTACTCTTGCCAGGAAGTCCTAGAAAACTCTCAATAGAATAGCATTGGACATATGCTTTCTTATTTCTAACTACTAGAAGTAAACCAATTAAAGTGATTGTGTTTTTGCTTAATCAACTTTGATGCGAGGTACCAACGATCCAAATAACTCTCTCAATTTCCTTTTTTAATTTTTTAATGTTTTCTTTTATCTTTGAGAGGGAAACACAGACAGACAGACCACAAGTAGGGAAGGGGCAGAGAGAGAGGGAGACACAGAACCTGAAGCAGGCTCCAGGCTCTGAGCTGTCAGCACAGAGCCCAACACGGGGCTCGAACCCACAAACTGTGAGATCATGACCTGAGACAAAGTCGGACGCTTAACCAACTTGAGGCACCCAGGTGCCCCTAACTCTCTCAATTTCTTTACTAAAAGATTCTTAAAGAGCCAGCATTCTTAAATACATACATACATACATACATACATACCAGCCAAACAACCAACTAACCACACAATGGCTGCGAGTTTTTATTTAACAACATTATTAAAATTATAGTACTACAAGATAGCGTAATTTATATGGTTTACCAATACACCAATGTTTCCCACACTTGAACTAATCGTGCATCAACCTACCCTACTTCGGCAACCACACAAAGCACCCTGTGTTACCATCTCTCTTTAAATAGACATACTCTTTTAAATCAATTTATTCTCAAGTGTTTTACATCATTGCTATTAATTGAAAACCAATATCATTTGCCATATAGAGTCTAGACATAAATGAATATTAAAATACATAATTTAACATTTTTAAATCGTGTGCATACCACACATTGAGAAACAATGCTGAAAAATATCAAGTTTGGACTAATCTTATAGAAGAATAGCAAACCAACCTGGGAAGTTAATAAAATCCTCTTAGAATTAATCCGCAAATACTCCTAAATCATTTCTTTCCACTAAATCCTATGGTCATTAAATCTTTAAAGCCTGTCAAAAAATAATATATATGAATTTCAGAAGCATTTTGGAATTTACAATGATATTTCCTTACTCAGATAATTTAATCTTTCTGATACGTAAAAGGTGATTCTTCAAACAAATGGCTTACTATAGAAGGGCAGAACGAGACCCTTAGTCACAAATTGCCCGATGGTCTTTCTCTGGGCACATTTGCTTCAGTTCTTACTATGTTTCTAGCTTTGTTTTGAGGTGCTATTATTTCCCCCAAAAAGACTTACTACAAAATACAACATGTATACATGTACACAACCCTAATATAAAGACGAAACCTGTGCCCTCTTTTAATTACACTTATATTTTGTGGTCTGTAAAGTGGAAATACTCGTGAGGATTTGATTTGGCCATCTGAGAGCGTATTCTTTAGTTTTGGCATTTGATTTCCTGTTGTTTATTATTTTACTTGTTTGTAAAAGAGGAAATAAATGCTGAGAACAATCTTTCCCAGTCAGGTACTATCACTAGAACATTGACATAATAGCTGTGAAATCAGCATTCCAACAATTTCTGAGTCCATTAAATTTCTTCAAAATAGAAGTTTCCAGAAAACAGATGTTACAACTTGAAAATAGTCTAGAAGCCCTAAAATT